ACCTGTTTTACGGATGTCGTCAATGGTTTAAAAGCTCTTTGTAAAAGCTTTTCTAATTTTGAACTCGTTAACAAGATTTTACAATCGCTTTATAAGAATCGGGATTTGAAAATAATGGCTATACAAGAATAAAAAAATTTGAATACTTTTTTGATCGAAGAACTTATCGGGTCTCTAATAACCTATGAAATGACGTGCAATGCATGTAAAGAACTTGAGAACCACCTTCCAAAGAATAGAAAGGATTTCGGACTTAGAACACATGAAGACCACTCGAGCATAAGCTCAACTGATGGTGAACTTGAACTCATCACAATGAAATTTAAAAGGTTCATTAAACAAAAATTAAAGAACAAAAAGAATGAAACTACTTGCTATAAACGCAAGAAGAAGTTGGCAAAAGATGAATCGAGCTTCTCTGAAGACGAGAAGAAAATCAACAAAGGCGAGGTGGCAAACTACGCCTTAACGGCTTTTGATGATGAGGTAAACGAAACTCCCTTAATTTATTTCGAAATTACATGATGCTTTTCATGATATATATTTATTTTATAGTTTAGAATAATTATTTTTCTTAAAAATTACATGTTTAAAAATGTAATAAAAATATAAAAAATTAGGAATCATGCTTATCCTTCTAGTAATTTTTTGAAAATAATTATGAAAATTGCATGATAAAGGAACAAAATGTTAGACTTAAATCTAATGCTTAAGATAAATCCTATGAATGTTTTTAAGAAGCATTAATGTGTATCATGTTGATTTCCATATTATTTCTCGATTTTGATTGAAGATGCTTCATGTTTAATGAAATCATACTTAATGATTTAATGATGCATAATGATGAAAACATTAAAAGTTTCGATACCATGATTGACGATTTTATTCTATGTATGAGATTTTAAAGTTATATATGATGATTTTTGTGATTTATTGATATGGATGATTTTTATGATAAATCTTGCACTTTCATTTTAAATGATGATGTATATTTTTGTTTGGCATAAAAAGACAAAGAACATGTATGTATGAAATCAATCGTATGAATTGAAACACTAAAAAGAGGAAATCTTTCTCCTTAAAAATTTTTCTTTATCTTATCGATTTTTCACTAAGAGATTGATAAAGTTGTTTAAGTCATTTTGAATCTCTCGAAAAGTGATTTTGATTTGAATGAAAAATTTTCAACCAAATCATGAGCTTTCTTTTTTATTTCTCTACTTAAGCTATCTTTTATGAGAATCAAAATATTTACTATCTTTGATGATCTTGAAAATGGTTTGAAATTATGCATGTTATATGTTAAACATTTGAAACCATGTTTTGGTATCATACATATCTAAGAAATGTTGATTTGACAAATTGAAAGAGTTGAAATTGAATGACGATTTTTCTCTTGAATATAAATCGTGATATTTTTTATATGAATCATCATTTTGATTTCTTGACATTTGATACATGAGATTTTTCTATGAATCAAGATTTTTCAAACTATGATTCTTCTTGGTATTCACTAAAAAGGATGTATTCAAATTAACCATGATATGCTACTTGACATCTTTTAAGGTTTATGACTTAAATTTTATTATGTAAAATTCCTTGTATTCTTGAAGTATATCTCATCACCTAATTCTTCTTGTCATTCTTCATGTGATGATATGAATACATGAAATACTCATGATATTGTTTTGATGCTCTAAAATGATATAAATTTGCTAGCTTATGAGTATCATGTATGATATGATGATTGATTTATTTTTAGTATCATGCATGGAGTAAGGATGATATGTAAAGTTTTGGAATTGTGCATATTTTAATTTAAAACTAGGATGATGCACAAGTATATTGAAAAAGGATTAATATTTTACCTTTGTCATAATCTTAAAATTGGTATAAAGGGTCTTCCCTTCTTTTTGACATTGACAAAGGGAGAGATAAAAGATGCTAGCTTGCACAATTCAAGAAGAAAGCAAAAATTGCACTTCTCAAAAGAGAAGAAAGAACTTGCTTCTTGAACATCTCAAATTGTTAGCTTCCATGTTGTAAAATAATGTAACATTTTGTTAGCTTGCGTTTTTGCAAAGGAAGCAAAAATAATCTCACTTCTCAAAAGAGAAGAAATTGCTATCTTGAACATCACCAAGAATTGCTAGCTCGAAATCTCAAGAAGATGAAAAATATGCTATCTTGAACATCGCAAAGAAAAGTAAATTTACAAACTTGCACAACTCTAAATTATTACTATTTTGTATGTTACAAAACTTGTTTTCTTTTTCAAACACTTGCTAGCTCGAACATTGCAAAACAAACTTGCTGAACTTGCACATCTAGAAAAATTTACAAACTTGCATAACTCAAAATTTTTGCTAGCTTGCATGATGATAAAACTTGATATTATGTTTTTATTTATGAAATGATTTGAACTTGTATATCCCAAACACTTGATAGTTGGAACTTCTCCTTTTTCTTGATGACAAAGGGGGAGAAGTATGATCATGTTATGCATGATGACGTATTGTAAATATTTATGATAAAATTTGTAATGACTTGAATTCAGCTTGAATTCAAGGTTCTATCAATATGCCATATTGATAGGGGGAGTTTGATTAAACTCCGGGAGTTTGCTTTAACTCCGTCATCAATTGGTTATCATCATCAAAAAGGGGGAGATTGTTGAATCTCGTATTTTGATGATGAAACCAATTGATAAGTATTTATGTTTTAATATGTATTTTGAGTGATGCAGGATGCTTCGATTAGGATGAGACAATTAAAGCAGAAAGAATCATGTTATGCTGGGGGAAAACATGTTAGAAGATTGGATGTCGGGCCAGAGGAATGGTCGACATATCGATAGAAGGCTTCGGGCTATGGATTCGGGCATCGGGCCAAGAAGAGCAGATATTGCTCTAAGGATATCAAAGTTGCAGAGTCAACTGGCCGATTGGGAAATATGCCGCAAGAGAGGATGATGCGTCGAAGAATCAGACGAAGCGTCGAGGGACCAATGACATGCCGGACAACTTGATTAATGCTTAGTATTAATTGTCCAGATCGAAGTATGTTTTCACATGTGTAGGATTAACTACGATAGCAAGCCAAATGAAGTCCCGGAGTCAAGGACGCGATTACGTTGGGAGTTCAAGAGTTCGTCGGAAGTCTGGACGTTCGTTGGAAGTTCTGGCAGAACTAGCCGAGAAGTCTCAGAGCTTACCCAAGAAGCTCATCAGAACTCACCAAGAAGATCATCGTGAAGTCCAGGAGCTTACCGGGAGTCCGCCAGAACATTGCCGAGAGATCATCGAAAATTCGTCGGAAGATCGCGGGAAGCTCGCCAGAAGAAACCTAGACTTATGGACTTTGTTTAGCTTAGTAAATGTCTTAAAATTTATAGTTAGCACATAATAGGGATTAGAATTGGGCCAACCCAATTAGGGGACAGTTGGGCCAAGTTTGGGTTGTGTTGGGCTAAGAGAAAGGCCCAAATAGTGACAAAATAAGTGAAATCGTCGTGGCATAGTCTCCGAGACTGTGTTAGGCGGTGGTACCGCCCAGACTCAGTCTCCAAGACTATTTGGGCAGTGGTACCGCCCAGTGTAAGACTGCATGTAGTGGTACCGCCTAGAACAGGCGGTGGTACCGCCCGTACCCTAAAATTTCGGGGGTTTAAATTTTGGGCTCCAAATTTGAATTCATTTGGGGCCTATAAATACCCTAATGATTCCTGCATAGATTAGCAAGAAATATTGAGCAAAATCCTATGATTCTAAAGTTGTAAACCTTAGAAAGTTGAGTTCCCTCCTCGCAAAGCTTAGAGAGAGTTCTAAGGGAGGTGTGAGAGGGATACCTTGTAAAAGAGGGTTGTAAAAGGTTGTCTCCTAAACCTGTGAAAAGGAGAAGAGGGGTGTAAAAGGGTAGTTAGTCTTCACCTATTGAAAGAAGACCGATAGTGGATGTCGGTGGCCTTGACGGAAGAGGAATTGGCGAAGTGGATGTAGGTCACGACGATCGAACCACTCTAAAATCTGGTTTGATTTTCCTTTGAGCAATTTACTTTAAACTGTAAACCATTTTACTTGCTTACTATTTTCAATACTTTTACGAACTCGCTTTCAAGTCAAGCATATTTTCGAGATCGGTTTTCAAAGAACGAGAAAATTTCAGAACCGACGTGATTTTTACCACTGCACTAATTCACCCCCCCCCTCTTAGTGCCGACCCTGTTCCTAACAGCACCGACAATCGATTCCCTTACGGTCTTGACAATGCCGACCCAGGATGTCACAGGAACCTAGGTCTTGCCGAATTAGTCGGAAGATATCCTCCACTTCAAAAGGAATGGAACACAACCCAATGAATCGATGGCCACGCGACGACTGAGACGAGCCCAAGCCTAGTACTGTGAGATTGGCAAAAAGTTGTATCGAAGAGCTTTCACTCAACCCCTCCTACGCTGCCTCGCACCACCCGAGGCTGAGACAGTCCTCGTCGAGCTCCATGAGGGCATCTATAGGGAACACATCGGTGGCCGAACACTAGCCTTTAAGATCCTCAAATAGGGATACTATTGGTTAACCATGCACCAAGACGCCCTATCATATGTGCAACGATGCCAGCAATGTCAAAGGCACGCCCGATTACATCACTAGCCTGCGATCCCCCTCACTCCGATGGATGCAGCTTGGCCTTTCGCACAATGGGGGCTCAACCTTCTCGGACCTTTCCCCCCAACGTCAGGGCAACGACGCTTCCTCATAGTCGAGGTCAACTACTTCACGAAGTGGGTCGAAGCTGAACCCCTAGCATCTATCACGAAGAAACAGGTCCAAGGCTTCACATGGAGGAACATCATCACCCAGTTCGAGATCCCGAAGGCTATCATCACCGACAATGGAACCCAGTTTAACAACGCCAAGTTTAAAGCCTACTGTTAGTCCTACAGGATACAATTAAAATTCAGCTCGGTCGCACACCCCTAGACCAATGGCCAGGTCGAAGTCATGAACCGAGCAATTCTAGAAGGCCTCAAAAGAAGGGTGACCGGGGAACATGGAGCTTGGGTAGATGAACTCTCTAGTGTCCTGTGGGTGCTACGAACAACCCCTAAGGCCGCTTCGGGAGAATCCCCGTTCAGCCTGGCATTCAGAACCAAAGTGGTCCTCCCACCCGAGATGACATTCCTAACTTGGCAAACCAACACCTTCGAAGAAAATGACTCCGAGGAAGGCCTCAGGGCTAACCTCAACCTGCTCGAAGAAAGAAGGGCCGAGGCGCACCTACGCACCCTGGCGTACAAAAAGGCCGCAGCCCGACTTTATAACCGTAGGGTCTACCCATGACCGATCAAGACCAGAGTGCTAGTCATAGGTTCCCAATAAGCCAATCACGTGAGTGATGACATATGTGACTTGACACAGTCATTTTGCTTATTATATTTTGGCATTTATCACTTTATATTGACTATTGCATATATACATGTTGCTAGTCATAAGTGCCTAGCAAGTCAATCACGTGAGTGATGATATATGTGACTTGACATGCAGTCATTTTGCTTATTATATTTTGGCATTTATCACTTTATATTGACTATTGCATATATGCATGTATATATTGTGGTGTCCTTGGATCTATGTAATGAGAATCGGATCGTGATGAGATCATGATAATGAGACCGATTCACCTTTAAACACAAATCCTAAATAATCATGATCATAGGTTACTCAAGAGGGACATTGAGATAATCGAATAGACTGGTGTGCTATATACCCATCCATATGATGGATGCAGCTAGTCTCATAGCTGCTCATGTGGGGACACTAAGGATATAGTACAAGTGCTCATTGGAGAATGAGTTCACTGATTGATCCACTTACGAAATGCTGGATGATTGATAATACCTTATTGTCAGATAGCAATTGCGTAGTCCTAGTGGTGTATTTGGTCCTTAGACTTGAGACACCAAGGATATCCTGTATGAGTGCTCCATTCTTTGATACCAGACTTATAGATTTGGATGTCTCAGATCTAGTATAGCTAGTCATCGGGAGTGGTAGTCAACCTTACGAGGGCTATTGAGTGTCGATAGAGGATCATCCACTCTCGGTGTCATGAGAGGAATATCCCATATGTTTTTGCTCAGACAAATCCCTGACCAGGGTCATTCGGATTAAGAGAAAAAGAGTTCTCCGGGAGAATCCGTTTAGTCCAAGACTCGAGAAGAAACTGTATGGGTTTGACAGTGTTAGGAATAGGGTCGGCACTAAGAGGGGGGGTGAATTAATGCAGTGGTAAAATAACGTCGGATTAAAAACTTTCGTACGATAAAAATCGTTTTCGACGAAATGCCGTTTCGTAAAGATAATAACTTTAAAAAGGTATTCGTAAAGATAGCTTGAAGGTAGTAAGCACTTAAAGATGTTTGCAATAAGGTAATGGCAAGAATAAAATGCAAACCAGAGAACACGGCAGTTTTAGAATGGTTCGGTCAACGTGACCTACATCCACTTTCGGCTTCCTCCTTCGACGAGGTCATTGGCATCCACAAGAGGCCTTCCTTCAATAGATAAAGGCCAACCACCCTTTTACAGCTTTTTTCCTTTTGACGGGCTTAGGAGACAACCCTTATAAGTTTTCACTCCTCTCTTGAATGATCTCTTAGAAAGAAAAGAGGAGAGCTCTAGCTTTTACAACACTTTAAGGCCTCAAATGACTCAAGATTATATCAAGATTTCGATGTCCTTTCATGCAAGAAATGGTGGGGTTTATATAGGCCCCAATGAGTTTGAAAATGGAGCCTAAAAGTGTCCATTCCCGAATTTTCAGGGTCCTGGCAGTACCACCACCATTACTGGGCGGTACTACCGCCTGTCATCTGTCACTGGGCAGTACCACTGCTCAGTCTGGGTGGTACCACTGCCTGATAGCGCTCGAAGATCGAGCTCTGGCGGTACCACCGCTGGCAGTAATAACTACCGGCGGTACTACTACCTGACAGGGATGGTACCACTACCCAGAATCCCTAGGAGACCGAGTCTCTTGGGTGGTGCCACCGCCGGCCAAGAATTCTGAGTCCGAATGGGCTGTCCCATTCGGCCCAATTTGGGTCTGTTAAGGGCCTAGTTGGCCCCTAATCAAGTTAGTGGGATTACCTCCCAATCCTAACTTAATCTATACTCTAACTATGATAATTACGACATGACTACTACAATTCTGTGTTCTAATGTGTCAATCGCTCTTCCAACGAGCTTCCGACGAACATCCGACGAACTCTCGGCGATGCTCCGACGGACTCCCGGTAGGCTCCTAGACTTTACGACGATCTCCTTGGCGAGTTCCGACGAGCTTCTATGGCAAGCTCCTGGACTTCTTGGATGAATCACGCAGAACTTTCGACGAACTTGTTAGGACCCTTTTTCTAAACTTTTAAATAATGTTTATCGAGTCTGTTTAGTTCAGTTGTTTATTGAGTCGGTTTGGTTCAGTTAAAGTCAAGTAGAGGTCTATTTAATATTTATTTATTATTAAGAGTCCAAGTCCTAGTGGACTCTAGATGGAACTCTATAAATAGTGATGTAACTCTTTTTTTTTAGAATGAATCAATCAAATGTTATTCCACTCTGTGAACAAACTCTAGGAGGTCGATCCCCTCGAAGCGATCAAGGAGGCCGATCCCCTCGAAGCAATCATTATCATCCCTTTCCCCTATTTCTCCTATTTCTTCCCTTTTCCCCATTTTTCTTGTTTCTTTTACGATAAGACCTTAGGGTCTTATCATTTGGTATCAGAGCATCCCTATTTTCTTCCATTTCTTTCATTTCTTTTACGATAAGACTTTAGGGCCTTATCATTTGGCATCAGAGCAGCGATCCTCGGCGTTCTCGCTGTAGTTCGTCATCTAAACAAAACAAAAAAGAGAGAGAGAGAAGAGGTCGGTAGCCGTCAATCGCACCCCTGCATCCCTTCTCCACCACCGTCGCCGCTGCAAGGCAACCCGTTCTCCACCGTTGCCGCTGCAGGGCAACACGTTCTCCACCATCGCCGCTATTACCTAGCCACCAAGTAGCTATCGTCCTCCCAAATAAATATATATATAAATAAATAAAAGAGAGAAAGAAGAAGAGAGAAGGCCGGCGGCCCGCATCCCCTACTTCTGGCCAGCCCACCCGCCGCTGTTGCTTCCCGGCCGACGGACCACCGCCGCCGCCGCTACTGCCCAGCAAGCAGCCATTACTACTGCTGCTACCCCCCCGGCCAGCGACTTCGCCTCCTCGCTGCCCGCATCTCGCTCGAACGAGAAGGGCCGCGGCCAACATTTCCTAGCTAGCGGACCACCCATCGCTGCTTCTACCGTCGGCGACGCTGCCCTAGCCGCACCGCCATCGCTGCCTTCCCTTGGTTGCAGCTTCGGCTGCGTGATCTATCAGCATCGTTGTTTCTGTGGTGCGATAGAAATAGAGCAGCCGCCGATCCCTCTACTACCGCAGGCGCCGGTTGCCTCTACCGCCGTTGTTGCTTCCCGGCCACTTCAACACCACCCCTCTCCTTCGTTGCCGAGCCACCACCACTGCCAGCCACTATGCGATGACTGCTGCATGCCTCCCAGCCGCCGATCCCCCTTGCTCTGCATCCGTAGTGACAGAAACAGGGCAACTCACCAGTTGCCCTTGTTCCCAACTGTGACACCACCGACTCCTTCTCCATCGCCGCCTCTGCCTCTCGGCCGCTCGAGCACCACCGCTGCTGCTCCCCAGCCAGCAACCTTACCTCCGCGTTGTGCCATACCTGCCACAACCACAGCCTCTCCCCTTTGAAGCCCATCTGGTCAAAAGGGGCCCCTGCCTCGCCTACTTTCGGCCAGCCCCACCACAGCCACTGCATTCCGGCCAGCGACCACCGTCGCCACTACTCCCCAGCTAGTAGCCTTCCCTCCTTGATGCTCCACCCTACTTGAGTGAGAAGGACCATGATCGCTGCTTCCCGACCAGCGGACAAACCCCCTCGTCACTTCTACCGTCGGCGACGCTGCCCCCAACCGCACCACCATCGCTGCGTCCGCTGCCCCCAGCCGCACCACCGTCGTTGCCTTCCCTTGGGTCACAATCGTCATAGTTGCAGTCGCTCGACCTCCCCTCCTCGTGGCGACCACAAAAAACCTAATGTTTCATATTTTAAAGTTTTTAGGTGTAAGTGTTTTATCTTGAATGAAAAAGATGCCTTAGGAAAATTTGATACTAAATCCGATGAAGAAATTTTTCTTGGCTATTCTTTGATTTCTAAAGCTTTTTGTATTTTCAATAAAATAATTTTAATTATAGAAGAATTCATTCATGTTGTTTTTAATGAGATTTCCGAAAATAAGAAAAATGATTTTGATGATGATGTTAATTTTGATACTTTAAATTTAAATGAAACCCCATCTCCAACTAGCAACTTGGATGCATCTATTTTCAAAACATCCTTACCCATGGATTAGAAGTATGTAGATGCTCATCCTAAGGAGCTAATCCTAGGAGCCACATCTAAAGGGGTTCAAACACGTTCTTCTCTTAAAAATTTTTGTGCTAATGTCGCTTTTCTCTCCCAAATTGAATCAAAATGTATTGACGAAGCTATGAAAGATGATTCATGGATTATCGTAATGCAAGATGAGTTAAATCAATTTGAGAGAAATGAGGTGTGGAAGCTTGTTCTTAGGCCAAATGACCATTTAGTTATTAGTACTAAATGAGTCTTTAAAAACAAGCAAGATGAATCTGGTATCGTGGTTAGAAACAAGGCTAGATTAGTGGCCAAAGGTTTCAACCAAGAAGAAGGTATCGATTACGAAGAAACCTTCACTCCTGTGGCTCGATTAGAAGCCATAAGGATGCTCCTTGCCTATGCGAGTAGTAATAATTTTAAGTTGTTTCAATTGGATGTTAAAAGTGCTTTTCTTAATGACTTTATTTCTAAAGAAGTTTATGATGAACAACCTCTCGGATTTGAGAACAATAGTCTCCCTAATCATGTGTTTAAATTGACTAAAGCTCTCTATGGTTTAAAACAAGCCCCAAGAGCTTGGTATGAGAGACTTAGTTTATTTCTTATTGAAAATAATTTCTCTAAAGACAAGGTCGATACTACATTATTTCTCAAAAACTTTGAAAATAATTTTCTTATTGTTCAAATTTATGTTGATGATATTATTTTCGGTTCAACAAATGAATCTCTTTGTGAATCATTTGCTAAAAGTATGAGTCTTGAATTTGAAATGAGTTTAATGGGGGAATTAACTTTCTTTTTGGGCTTACAAATTAAACAACTAAGTAATGACATCTTTATTAGTCAAACAAAATATGCT